GATCTACAGCTTGACCATCAATAAAAACCCAACTAGTGAACCTCAGGCCTTTGTCCCGGGGGAAAGTTAAACTGTCATTGAACTCACAACTAAATTAATCAAAAGAAAATAGAAGGAGTAAAGGAGGTTGGTAAGGGATACAAAATTCCTGTTGTAAATTATTTGGAACTGACTTGAACGTTTGACTGACGTCGTCGTAGTCGTCGTCGATTCAGCCGAAAGACGTCCACTGCTGGACAAAGGCCTCCCCCAAAGATTTCCACGAAGACCGATCCTGCGCCGCTCGCATCCAGGCACCTCCCGCGACCTTCACCAGATCGTCGGTCCACCTAGTGGGAGGCCTGCCCACGCTACGTCTTCCGGCTTGTGGTCGCCACTCAGGAACTTTTCTGCCCCAGCGGCCATCAGCACTACGATTGATTGTAACCTCGCCTAATGATGAGTTTATATACCTACTCCATACTGTGATTGAAGCTACTAAAGTGCTGGATTTGTAAGCTCATTTACAAAATTAGAGTAATAAATAAATAAATAGAAGCTTTTCAAAGTCAGATTTTTTGATTAAAATAATAAAGGCTGATCTAACCGCCCATTGTCCCGCCAAAAATCAACGTTCCCGCTAAAGTTAGCCTAAACCAAATCCCGTAAGCCGGGTCAAGATCCAAGTTTAATTAATTTTGAGCCCCTTCCTCGAATATAACTTAAGCTAATCCACGGGTTTAATTAATAGATATTAGGGGTTTCCAACCGCAAGGCACCTGGGCGTGTATTGATGATGGCCATCTGATCATCTGATTAGGTAGTCATAGTAAAACTGGAGACACACTTCAATTAAAATAGTAAGTCACGGGTCTTAACGCGATGTTTATTAATGAGTTACATTATGTACTTGTGCTTGTGACCACGGCTGCAGCATCGCAGCCGAAACGTCAAGCCGTAAGTACATAATGTAACTTATTAATAAAAGTCGCGTTAAGACCCGTGTCTTACTATTTTAATGGAGACACACTGTCAGTTAAATTGACCGTTTTGTGCGAAATCTTCAGTTGAATTTCATTGTACACTGTTATTTTTAACCCCCGATGAAAAAACAACAAACGCGAAAAATTATAAGTTTTGGGTGTGCCTAGACACTAGCTCCTGACACTGAATTCAGATTTAATCATAAACGGAGTATCGAATTGAGAGTTAATAAGAATCTTATCCGTTCAGTGTTTCGAGTCTCAATCACCCTTTCGTCAAATTCCCAATGGGAATTTCAGCATCATAATCTCAGTTACAGAACGTCCACTGTTGAACAGAGGTATTTCCCAATGATTTTCTGATTAGAAAATTGGTAGTGGCTTGCATCCAGCGCCTTTCTGCACCTTTATGAGGTCGTCTGTCCACCCTGTGGGTGTACGTCTCACGCTGCACTTGCTTGCCTGTGGCCTCCAATCCAGAACCTTGCTGCCCGATCGGCCGTCAGTTCTGCGTAGGTACTACTAAATTTACAAAATCAGTAATATTCATTCTGCAGTTTGGTCCTTTTGAATTCATTATTTCCTTGGGCCTATCCCTTCAATATTTGTTTTAAGTAAGTAACTGTCCTCACTCATAGGCTGTCTGGAAGAGATCGCTTCATAGCGATAAGACCGCCTAGTTGTACCTTGTGTGTTCCTTTTCTTTCTGTTATGTTATTTGTTTGGTGTGCAATAAAGTGTATTTATTAATATATTATTATTATGAAACCTTACTGAGATTAAAGTGTTAAGAATATTGTTCATAATGGACCTACTTTAGATTGTTGCACAACTCTGGCAACACTCTATCAAACTATTTATGAAAATTCTAGAGCAAACTTAGCCGAAACTTAATGAGTTTAGAGATGCGGGGTCTGAAGAATTTGTATTAAAGTTAGTGACTATGGAAGATAATAATATGATTTTAGATAACGAGAAATAGCCACGGTAACCGAACGATGAAGGGGTCGGACTGGCCGACTCGTGATCCGGGGAACGCGTTCGAACGCGGGTTCGATCCCCGCCGCCGCTCGACTATTGTGGTGAGCTCACTCGTGACACAAGCATAAGGTAAACGGCTACTAGTTCGTGATAGTACGTAAGTTCGTAAGTTTTTTTTCTAGCTTAAATAATAAGCAAATGGTATATTATTTATAAAAATTCTTCATCACTACAAAAACTCTATACTTTAAGCTATCTAAAAAACCTAGTACCAACATTGTGGCGCCAAAAATGAGAGCAATACGAAGCTTCAAACTCTCAGAGAGCCAAAATCAGCCGTGCGGCGTGAAAAGGTTGCTCTCACCGTAAGGTTAGCACTCCAACTTCTTAAGCTTATAGAAAGGCGAAGGAACGTCCATTTGAATAAAACTTATAATAGTGGTTTCATCTGTTCCTTGACAATTGATTTGACTTAGAAAAAAGTTATAAGAAAACGTAGAATTCCTTTAAAATTGCGATTATTTGACTCACGAAATAGCGTACATATTTTTTCTCGGATGTCCCCTATTTCGTGACACTACCGAATCAAGGATATTATGGATAACATTTTGATGCTTGGTTTTTAAATAATTATTTGTGATAATTTAAATGTAAGTTATGAAACAAATAATACAATTATTTAAGTTTCTCATGACCTAAATTCGGTATATGTTTCGTTCAGTAGAATCTACATGACACGAGTTTGAAGTTCACATAAATGACCAATTTTAAGAGAAATTTACATAAGTACTACCAACGTAATTTTGGTTTTATCTCGATATGTTTTATTTATATTTGTTTATTTGTATTGTATATGAGATAGATAATAGTTAATTGACACAATTTGACAATAATCCATGAATTTTACTTTGGGAATTTGGAATAATCAGTATCACGAAACAAGAAACCGTATTATTGTTACTTTTTTCCAAGTTCGTGATATATAAATGTATAGTGTTAGATAATTTTATGANGGACAAAACTCCATGTAATACACAATGTCCGTAGCCCACTGCACTCCAGCACTACTTTAAACTAACAAATAAGTCACTTTATACTAGAAAAATAAATAAAATTTACTCCATCCCATGTTTGTTTACGCGCAGCAGCGCCCCCCTTTAAAATAAAAATATGATTTATTTTTAATACTTACCTAAATAAAACCTTTGTCTTAGTGATATTATTTTTTACACTGTATTAAATAAAAGCCTAACGTACTTACAGGAGTACAAACTATTTTCAATATTTTTCTTTTACAATAAAAAATACAAAACACAAGGTCTAAAAAACTATGTAAAACCGTCAATATTTTATCTCGGTCTGAAGCACATTTCTTAGTTTGTACTTGGTATAGTACATCCGGCAGATATGAATGCTGCTGTTGAAAAAACACAGGACTTACGAGGTTAATGCGGTTCACAGAATACATCTACTTACCAAGTCTCAACAGTATAGCTCTTATAGTTTCGGAAAAAAATGGCTGTGACATACGGACAGACAGACAGACATGACGAATCTATAAGGGTTCCGTTTTTTGCCATTCGTCTACGGAACCCTAAAAATCACAAAATTAACGATAACTTCTAAACTACGAAAAATCGTAGAACATACATAGGGGTGAAATCGATAGGTCTAGTCCTCACCTATGACCTGCCTTCGGCTTGACACCTTACAAGAAACAATTTATTTTCATTTCGCAACGCAAGTAAGCTATAAATAGGTAGGCCTACAAAATGTATGTCAACATTTTATATAAAATTTTATGCTTTTAAAANTCCATGCTACCACTTGAAGCCGATGTACGAATTGGTGTGTTTATATTACCCGTCTTAGGCTTTTTGCTCATGCATTCCGGGCAACTCCACTGGTCTTTTTTTTTCATTATATTAAACAGCTTGTATGAGACATTTGCACATTCTAAGTCATATGTTGATTTACAAGTCATGCATCGCAAGAATTCCCTTTTGTGCAGCTGTCTTTGGCAGCCCGAGCATTTATTCGGTACACTCATTTTCAATGTTTACCAAAACAGTTCCTTAGTTAGCATGCAGGAGTTAGTTAATGAAGTGACATATAACGCATTCTGTTGACGACTCAAGGTACTAAAATGGCCCTTGTTTTTCCTGACAATCCTCCGTGTAAAGCAGCCTTCTCGTCTTGCAAGAAGCTTCCAATTGTAAACAATAGATGGCGTTGAATGTTCACAGAATTATTTAATTACGGGCACTGAGTCAGTATTGAGGTTATAAATATATTCACTTCCAAAAATAATAAACAGTTCAAGCACTAAATAGATTTCGAATCATCAGTCTGTAGTATATCGTCGGTTTATATGATTATTTCGCATGTCCAGTAAATAACTTGTCGTAATATTTGCACAGATAATCCGGCACAATCAGTCACTAATTTCACTGTTTATACGGCAAAGTCAGACAAAACTCCATGTAATACACAATGTCCGTAGCCCACTGCACTCCAGCACTACTTTAAACTAACGAATAAGTCACTTTATACTAGAAAAATAAATAAATTTTACTCCATCCCATGTTTGTTTACGCGCAGCAGCGCCCCCTCCGTCCTCCGAGGACCGCTGGGAAGGGGTATCTTTGTTCAACAATTACGTCGAAACTAATAGACATAGACTAATAAATTTACATTCGTTTTGTAGAATAGCTCAAATACTAAAAATACAATGCAAATAAAACATACCTTAACGACCTGGTTTTCCTTGTGTTGGAAAATAACTGAAAAAGAACTGAAAAAAGTAATGTATTTTTCTAATTAAATCCATTCTTACTCCCATAAAATGTATGAAATTTGTGTCTGTTTTCTTATTCTACTAATAGATAATTTTATTGGCTATCGCATGATATAAAATATTTGCATATTAATGTTAAGCTACCCACGCTTTCACTTGTTTTTTAAAGAAGAGGTGTAAACTAAAAATTAAAAACTTAAATCGGTGTAATTTTTCGAGAAATGGGTCAGGCCCCAAATTTGAAGTATTTTTATCGATAAAATTGTCCCTAGATTTTGCCCTTAAAGTTTGATCACTACAAGCCCGGACACACTGTATAGGATTCAGAATAGATTGACGAAAATATAGTAAGCATGTTCTGACAATCTGATATTTACCTCAGAAGAAATTGCATTCAAGGTTAAACGAATAAATTAAGTAATGCATTTATCGCTTTCTCAAAGCAATAAAAACGCTAAATATAATGAAAATTAAATACTATATTATGAAAGCAATTGGACGTGGTTCAATACAGTAAACATAAAAGTTCTATACAGTACTGTATACAGTATACAGTAATAATAAATTATTTGCTATCTTCCAAGAAAACTGAACTGAATTCCTTAGGTTCTTTGTTGTCGATTACTTAGGTTTATTTGGATGAAAAGATACAGTCTCTTTATTGATAGATTAATATTTATTTTAGATGTTTCAATTTTTAACTAACTCTACATTTTGTCTTTTGATTCGGGCAGAATTAAGTCTATCAAGTAACAACCTGTGTAGTGTGTATGGATAAGCGTTATTTTGATCTTCATAGAACTCGTAGGGTGTGGCAGATTTTTTATACAGTGTGAGTCACGTTAAAGTGTACATATGAAAATAGATAAAACTAGACCTATTTTTATCGACAAAAAAGTGGTCAAAATTTTTTTGAGATTTTTTTTTAATTTTTTGTAGAATTTTTTTTCTTCCAATTACTTATTGTAAAGAAAACGTAATAACTTTTAAACTAAGCGGTATATCCTGATAAAATAAAAACAGTAATAATGCTAAATAACAGGCGATACTGAAAAAATACATAAAATATGCAAAAAATGCTAACAAATAATAAAAAATAAGACTTTTTGAAAAAAATCTGCTTAAAAATTCGTATTTTTTTGGTTATTTGATAAATTTCTCAAAAAAATGCCCCTATAACAGGTGGTTTTTATTACTTTGTATTATTCTCTATCGTATTTTCTTTGTAAAACCAAAAATTGCATGTCTCTATCCCTATCACAACATTTGCTATGATCGTTTGAACAAAGGCCTGCCACAACATTATTCTCCGCTACAGGTAGAGACAATTTTAATTTTAACTAAAATGCTTATTTTACTTCGAAATCTTTTGTTTTTATTTGAAATCTAACTTGTCTTTATCAAAATTACAAATCTAGAGCCATTTTCATTTTCGTTGTTAACGAAGCGTTGAATGGCGCGCCCGGAGAGGCTTAGTTCAAACAATCATTGCAAACGTTGTGATAGGGATAGGGACATGCGATTTTTGGTTTTACGAAGGTAATACGATAGATAATAATACAAAGTAATAAAAACCACCGGTTATAGGGGCATTTTTTGGAAAAATTTATCAAATAACCAAAAAAACACGAATTTTTAAGCAGATTTTTTTCAAAAAGTATCATTTTTTATTATTTGTTGGCCTTTTTTGTGTATTTTATGTATTTTTTTAGTATCGCCTGTTATTTAGCATTATTACTGTTTTTATTTTATCAGGATATACCGCTTAGTTTAAAAGTTATTACGTATTCTTTACAATAGGTAACTGGAAGAAAAAAAATTCGATAAAAAATTAAAAAAAAATCTAAAAAAAATTTTGACCTATTTTTTGGCGATAAAAATAGGTCTAGTTTCATCTATTTTCATATGTACACTTTAACGTGACTCACACTGTATAGTAGGTATACCGGCCGATTTTGACAGTTGAGAGGTCGTAAAAAATGGATCAAAGGAGGTCTAGAATGTATCTTGAATTTTCAACTTACAGATAACGTTTAATAAATTGAAATCAATCAGTCCAGAGGGCCGTCGGGAGAACGGCATTAGTTTTGTTCAGTCGGGGTTGTTCCTGAGTCTGCAACTCATGGCTTTCTCCACGGAGACCGATGAGAATACCACTGCTGAGATCGACCAGTGCCTTGGACTTAATATCACTAAATCGGTATGAAAAATTGTAACTAAAATGTAGGCTCTACCGGCTAAGCCTGGCAAGCGAAGGGTCGTGGGTTCGATTCCCACATTAAAAGCAATGCGATTTTTTCAAGTTATTTTATTAGACTAATAGTAGAATCTAAATCTGTCACTTGCTCTACATTGTATCCCTTATGGGACATCGCAGGAAACATGTAAGTACTTGCCTGTGGTATAGGTAGTGCAGTGCCTAAACTATTTTGTTTTAATGTAGATAAGTGTCAGACTTAGGTTCGACTCAAGTTTCTCTCTCATCCTAGAGAGTAGGTACCTAGCTACCTAAGTACTAGTTTGTAGAAATGAGTGAAATTTACACACACACGTGTTCTTACATAAGTAATCGTGTTGTGTGTCGTCTCGTTACGTCATATCTTGTAAAAAGCGCCCAAATCAGATGTTGACCAGCAGACGATTACGTATGAAAATACGTAGAGTTGATTACACTGTAACAAGTTATTTGTTTTCAATTTGAAGCGGCGGTAAATAGTTGCAATTTTGATTTGAAAATAATTTTGTTATTATCGTTTCCAGGACAAAATAAACATCATTAAAGACGTATTGTCTGATATGCCCAAGTCTAATTTCGACCTGAAGTGGCGGTGGTCGTCCCGGCTGGTCCTAGGTGCTGAACAGAACGTCAGCGAGGATTTTAGAAGCGGGGCAGCTTCAGCTTTACAGTTATTCTTAGGGAAATTCCATGGGAACGAAACGGACAAGATACTTGCCCAAACTCTTAACCATATGGTAAGTTTAATTTTCTGCTTGTTTCATTATACTAGAATAGGCAATACGTTAAACGCTTATAAGTTATAAGTAGTTACAAACGTAATAGCGTCGTGTATTAAAGGTCACATAATTTAATCACACCATGTTTATTTATATTTGATTCGAAATCAAAAATGTTATAAAAGTGCGCTGTATACGTTTTCTTATCGCACGACGACAGGTACAAACGTAATGTTATTAAGTATGCGCAGATGGATTAAACCCCATGGCTGTTATTCAATTTAAAAGAAAGTCAATTTCAAATTAGGTTAGGTACCAATAAATATTAATCATAAATAGGTAGTACTAGTAAGTACCTACCTGCATACTTACGTCATAATTTATGTTTGTATAACTTATGTTACGTCACAATATACATTTATTGTACAGTCGAGTTCATAAATATATTGGAAATGAATGAATATTTTGAAACATTGGGCACTGCCAATATATTTATGAACTCGACTGTACCTCCTAACTACAAATCCTACATTGTGGATATTCATGTCACATAAGTGCGACCAAAGCGGTTTAACTTATCACGACTTTTGTGTGTGAGACCTAAAATTGTAGTTTGTTAGTTTTTATGGTTTGTCCTATAATAATCACCAATATGTATGTAGTACTAGTAGTAGAGAGTATCATCTTGTAGGTGGAAGAAGATTCAGGCGGTGCGATTCGGGACACGTTCGACCCCGAGGAGTTATCGGACGGAGTCCGCGCCGTGGCCTTGACGACTTTATACATGCGCGGGCGCTGGCGGTCTGCCCCCACTGTGCTCAACGGGTCTCGGCCGTTCCGAGACGCCGACGGATCGCCACCGCGCACCGTGCGAATGATCCGGCTTAACGACTACGTGCGGTATGCCAACTTTGAGGACTGGAAGTTTCAGGTAGGTCCGAAGAAAATACTGATGAATTTAAATAAAACATTTAATATAAGTACCTTTTAAACACACAAAAACTAGTATCTTACCTTACCTATATAATGAAATAATAAATTATAATAAATGAAACGTATTACAGCAGCTGAAAATAAGTTAACAGCCGTCTACACAGCTAAATTAATAACTATTTTACATTATTTTGTAGCAGTAGGAATATAAACAGAGAGCAACACAACATTTATTTTGTATCGGTAGGAATATAAACAGAGAGCAACACAACATAAACTATGACAAAAATAATAAAAACAATGTTGTTAAGTATTTCAGCCAGGGTTATCCAATCAGAACGTGATTGGCTTTCGTTTGGTTCATTTTCTGAGAGATTTTTCTGATCTTCAGCGTTGCTGGGATCAAATTCAGTAAAAATCACGTATCTCCCCGGTCCACTGATGACAAGGTTACTCAATGACTTTAACCACACCGGGACCTGTTCCACGCGTTTTCTTAAAGACATCATAAGTAGTGTCAGCAAAATACAAATCAGTGTCACGACCATCGAATCGCGAATGAACAATATCAAAATCGGAGTATCCGCACCGTGCTTAGGAATGGAATAACCTATTTCTGTTAGAAATATGAAATGTCCAAAAAGAGAAAAACATTGCAATCCCAACCTGTTATTGTCCTTCACATCTAATAATAACGAAACCATTGTCATCATTATAATGACTACCGACGGGACGACAATGATCGCAGCAAGCCCCGCAGACTCCCTTTTCATCATAAATGTATATTTCAGCATCGGATATGTAACGGTAGGACAGCATGCAAAGTTACCAGGTAATCTCTCGTGGATAACGCGTAGCAACGACCACCCAGGACCTGGTTGGTAATCGTCCAAGATAACAGCACTCTTGTTGAAAAATGTAAAGTTGATCTGTTCTCCAGTATGCATCCACGATCCAAAATACATTGTGCAATTCTGTTTATCGTACGGCCAATATTTTAGGGTAGAGCGACAAATTCCAGAGTGCGGAACATGCGGTATGCACGTAACGTTCCCCGTGTTGTGCAATAGACATGTTGTGAAAATCTGATCCGATTGGTAGAGCGCCGCGTCAGCATTGTACAATGACATACGTGGTGTCCAGATTTCGTGACTCTCCACCTGAATTTCTGTTATGTTGCCGTATTCACTAGGATCCCACGTCAAAAATTCATCCTTCCATTTCAACGCCACCCAGCTATGCACATTGAATGTTTCTTCGGATGCATCGAAACTTATATATTTTACGGCGAAACGTACACTAACATTGACAGTACTTCTGTGGTCTTTTACTGGTCGGTAGCTGTAGTCATAAGCACAAAAAAGGTCCTTGTGAAGTTTAGCTTCAAAATGATCCACTGCTACTCGTTCTGGAGGACACTCTCCATAGATGAATTTCAAATAATTTAGTACAATGAATACGAGAAGCGTGGCGTGAGCCATGGTGGCCGCGATCACACAGACTGATAGTCACAAATCTAGCACAGTCACGGGACAAACATATGTTGCACCGCCCCCTATGTAATAGGATACTGTATTGTCACCATTCACCACATTGCCATGCTTGATAATAAACATTTTGTAGCATTACAATAGACATGTGCTAATGGGCAGTTGAGATTATTATATTTAATTATACGACACTGATGGCACGTGATTTAAACACCATGAGGCTCACAAATCTACCATCAAATACCTACAAAGCACCTTTGCTTTTTTTTAAATTCTGAAGCTTAGATTTTAAGGGCTTTTGCTATCGGCCCTCCAGAGATCAGATATAGTGGCGATTGGACGACCGACACAACTAGCCTAGTGCTCGCTTTTGTTAGAAGGCACGTACACTTAGGTACTAAGTAAGTGGGCGTAGATTGGTAGGTATTCCAATAGCGTAGTAGATAGTTCTCCAGAACATACACCTCCGTCTTCACAAATCCCATTCGAGTATTTCCAGCATTTGGTCTTCATCTGTTTTATTTTTAAATTCAATTTCTGTTGAATAGGCCATAGAAATCTTCTACGCGACTCGGGGGCTGTCGCTTTTGATGTTGGTTCCAGACGGGCGCTCTCTGCGGGGGTTGGCCGACCGCCTTGAGACCCTCAGCATAGCAGATATCTCCAAGAGGATGATCTCCATGCGTATAGCTGTAACTATGCCGCTGTATACGCTGCGCATGACGCTCCTGCTGCCATCCAAATTTAAGGCTGTACGTAGGTATTTCTTAATATTATTGTTTAGTTTAATAACTGATTTAGAAAATACACAAAAATAAGTATGTTCATCTTCGTGGTCTTAAATTCACTCTTTTTCAAAATAAGCACTCGCTTTATACTTATTCTAATAAAAACCTTTGAATATATTGATCATCTATTTTTTATTCTGTAACACCTGACAAATCAAACTGGTCTCTACATTGTCTTAATTTTTCTATGTTACATTTTTCCAGCTCGGAGTTGATCAGCTGGTTAGCGATAAGGATACCACAGATAGTGGTAGTTTGAAGCTTTCTCATGGCGTCCAGCGACTGATGTTCTGGGCCGAAGCAGGACGGAACGCTTTCAAAGATGACGGTATGTTAAAACTAATTAATACGTTTCGAATTAAGGCCACATATCGGGCCAGACTCTTTTTTTTTCCATAAATCTGCATCACTACATAGTATAAAACAATGTCTCTTTCCGCTGTCTGTCCTTAAGTTATGTATGCTTAGATCTTTAAAACTACGCAATGGATTTTGATACGGTTTTTTAATAGATTGATGATAGGAAGGTTTATGTGTATACTTAGCACTCGTGCGAAGCCGGGCGGGTCGCTAGTTTTTTTATAAAATTATCTCATCAATATCCCGGCAACCAGTCCCGCAAATTCTTGTCTATAGACCCGGTTTAGTTCTCATGTCTTCTATAGCCTATAGTCCTTGCAATACTGTCTTTGGCTGTATCCCCTCAATAGCGCATACATCTATTATCCGCAAGATGTAGGTACTCTCACTTACACATCCCAACGTATTATTTTATTTTGAAGCGGTCTCTTCCTGTTGGGTCATCCCCAAGCATAATAGCTAAATTGTTTTCATTTCCCTCAACTTGAATTTGCAGTGAATAAAGAGAAAAAATCTGTTCTTTTTAGGTATAGAATGGGATGCAGAGCCTGAGATGGAGTTGGTCGTGGACAGACCGTATTTGTTCTTTGTGCGGTGGCACAAAACTACGCTTATGAGCGGTAATTTTGTTCTGTAAAAGTGAATCTTATCTTTTTGTAATAAGGCACAACTAGCCAATATTGTACCTACTGGTATGCATGAACAGTTGTGATTTTGGTGTGAATATGTAGGTACATACAGTGTGAGTCACGTTAAAGTGTACATATCAAAATAGATGAAACTAGACCTATTTTTATCGACAAAAAAGAGGTCAAAAAATTTTTGAGTTTTTTTTTTAATTTTTTATAGAATTTTTTTTCTTTCAATTACTTATTGTAAAGAAAACATAATAACTTTTAAACTAAGCGGTATATCTTGATACAATAAAAACAGTAACAATGCTAAATAACAGGCAATACTAAAAAAATACATAAAATACACAAAAAAGGCCAACAAATAATAAAAAATTATACTTTTTGAAAAAAATCCGCTTAAAAAATCGTGTTTTTTTGGTTATTTGATAAATTTCTCCAAAAAATGCCCCTATAACAGGTAGTTTTTATTACTTTGTATTATTCTCTATCATATTACCTTCGTAAAACGAAAAATTGCATGTCTCTATCCCTATCACAACGTTTGCAATGATCGTTTGAACTAAGCCTCTCCGGGCGCGCCATTCAACGCTTCGTTAACAACAAAACTGAAAATGGCTCTAGATTTGTAATTTTGATAAAGACAAGTTAGATTTCAAATAAAAACAAAAGATTTCGAAGTAAAATAAGCATTTTAGTTAAAATTAAAATTGTCTCTACCTGTAGCGGAGAATAATGTTGTGGCAGGCCTTTGTTCAAACGATCATAGCAAATGTTGTGATAGGGATAGAGACATGCGATTTTTGGTTTTACGAAGATAATACGATAGAAAATAATACAAAGTAATAAAAACCACCGGTTATAGGGGCATTTTTTGGAAAAAATTATAAAATAACCAAAAAAACACGAATTTTTAAGCAGATTTTTTTCAAAAAGTATCATTTTTTATTATTTGTTGGCATTTTTTGTGTATTCTATGTATTTTTTTAGTATCGCCTGTTATTTAGCATTATTACTGTTTTTATTTTATCAGGATATACCGCTTAGTTTAAAAGTTATTACGTTTTATTTACAATAAGTAATTTGAAGAAAAAAAATTCTATAAAAAATTAAAAAAAAATCTCAAAAATTTTTTGACCTCTTTTTTGTCGATAAAAATAGGTCTAGTTTCATCTATTTTCATATGTACACTTTAACGTGACTCACACTGTATACCTATAGCAAATGTGTATGGAAAGATAAGAAAGAATAGTGAAAAACTTTTATTATAAATACGAGTACAGCCGTTGTATTAGAAAAGTGAAAAACAAAATATTTTCAAAGGCAAAGTATTGACTATTATTTTGTCGTTTTATATTTCTTATGAAATCGTTTGACTTAACCTATTTTTACTAAATTTATATGTTGTTTTAAATTATTTATTACTGAATATGGATTAGTAAAATAATAATTTTATAGGTATTAATTTACCTACGTACGATAATGTTAGTTAATGTTAAACATATTATTGAAATTAAAAATAATTAATTATTTACGGAATAGTTTCTCGGATCTCCTAGTTAAAATATGATTAATAAAATACTTAGTTGTTATTTAATCTAGTTGACTTCTCGTTTCCTTGTTTCAAAGGATCTCTAAATAATTTATCGATAGATTTGTATGGTTGTTTGTATTATTCATGTTTTAATTTAGATTTTTTAATTTATAAAATAAAATATAATTTATATCAATTAACTGGATTTTGTTATTTATTTTTTTAGCATTAAGAGATCTCAAACTACTTTGAAAATTATAAATAACTTGAAAAAATCGAACTGCCTAAGGATTTTTTTTCAGGTCATATAAATATTTTGAATGTAAATGAAATTGCACGGTATCGAAACCTGATTATGCCACCTCTAAGGTTTTTATTACACGGAACAATTAATTAGTTGGATTGATTGTACCATGAGTCAGCCAATCACAATTTTCATAGTCTATGGTAGGTAATTGAATTTTAAAATTAATTTCGGTTCTTGGATATTCCTGAAAATTACGTAGTAACTAGCATAGTACCTACTGCTAAGTCTAAGTAGGTACACGTGTCATACAAATCACAATGAAATAAGCTAATTTCTCAGCAGTTTGCCCATTCTATATTTTAATTTACTAAATAATCTCATATCCCTTAATTATAGGCTAAATGTAAATAAAAGAATGACAATTAATATTTACAACTTATTTTCTATGCACCCAAGATACTGGCGGCTCTGTGGTGGTAAAAAATCACAATGCAATTTTCAATAATTTCTATAAAAGCGATTAAAGTACTGAAATTTAACAATACGTCTTAGGCTAAGATGCACCACCTTAACTTTGACTCTAACTATAAAAAACCGGTGTTTTTGTATGGAGTTTGACAGACTTTTGTTTAATGTTAGATGAGGGTTAGTTAAGCACTAGCTCTACCTACTCACTTAGCTCATTGCTGGTGGACTGCCTAAAGCTCCCTAATAAATACGATTCGAAAAGTATCGACTAATCGACAGTTGGTTAGGCGGCAAGTCTCTCGGCTCGCAGAGCACTCTGCCCTGCGCAAGCGGCGCGATCCCGCTGCGATGCAAGATGGCGTATAACTCTTCTGCACTAGGCCAGTAGGGGGCGCGGGCGAACGCGGCCGCAGCTTCGCCCATACAATCCCGCATTACTAGCACTTCGCTGCCACGTCGACCGTACACTGTCCATTGATCCGCACTCTGCTCTTGTACGATGTAGTTCCCTGCGTGATAAAACATTTGTATGGTACTGTATTAGGGCCTTTGCGCATTGAAAGAAAAACTATACAGCAACAAGAAGTTTCTTTCTACAAATTTTTTTAACTTAAGTACCTACTGCAAGATTGCGAATTTGCGACTCATATGATAAGTAGAGTCTCTATTATTCACTGTAGACATGAAACAGGGACGCGCGCGATAAAGTCTCTCTGTCACAGACAAAAGTCGAAAGCTAGTTAGGTACTACACAACACAATAATTTACATTTCATTTTAAGGTTTTCCTATACATATTATTTATTTGAGACATACTTAGTTAATTTAGGTAGAGTCGTATTTTTACAATTTAACAAAACTACTCACGCACGTTGCTATAGTGTTATGAAATAATTGTTAAGGGAATACATTTCCTCTGCGTGCTACAGTGGAAGTAGGTAAAGAGGTCAATCAATCGTTCAATTTACACGCGCAGGTTAAAGGCCTACTCAAAGGTGGTCGATCGTAGTAATAGTATGAGTACCTACTTAAGCACAAAGGGTGGATGAATTAGTCGGTAAATACTGAAATTTCATAGTACCTAAGTAAAGGTAACTTAGGTTATGACCTTACTAAATTACCCATGTGGTCTACCACACGGTTCATGTTGTAGGTAGGAGGGAACTTATGGTATGAAACTCCGTTATTATTAAATTGCGACTTACCCTCATCACCACGTGTCACTATAATGTTCTCGAGCAGGCCCGCCTCAGTGCCGTTGCCTTGCAGGAAATGCTTCCCAAGGGGCGACTCTACTTCCAGTAAACAATTCTCCCAGTTCACCCGTTCGCTAAAGTTCCCATACTTTATCACGTACTGTTCTCTTTCCTATTAATATAATAAAATAATACTATCTAAATAATAGTCATTAAAAAGATATAAGTGTAGGTACAAATTGGGTAAATCCCCCAAGTAGGTAATGCGCTAGTCACACTTATTAATTTATTGGTAATGGCATGTGGGAATCTGGTAAAACATACACGCTAACAATCTGGGTACTTACCAACTCAGTGGTAGCGCGAATATGCAAAGTAAAACAATCTATTGCCTTAGGTTGTGTGTAAACGGTAAGCCAACTTCCAACAAGATCCTGTACGTTTAATCTAGGAGAATTTCTGAAGTAAGGGCAAGGAATAGTCGAAACATTTCCATTAATAACTCCGCTCACAAATAACTTAGAAAAATATAACAGTTCTAGCGCGAAGACGATGTGTACGGCTGCCATTTTAAAATCAACTGTCTCTATTCCCAACAGTACTGAATAACGCGGTGCAGAGGCGTTCAAGAAATGTTTTAAGATCGCACTGAAAACAGTGATCACTTGTATAAAAACAGCCGAATCTTATGCTCTTAAACATATAACATCGCAAGACAAGTTGGTAGGTATTTAGAGAAAAGAAAAATAATAACTTTCTCAGTGAATCTATTTGTCTATAAATTTTAAAATAGGTAGGTAATACCGTTAAGTTCCTTAAAAAAAGACGTGTTTTTGAAAACAAGCTTTTATTATTATATTTTATTATAAGGTGGATACATATTTTAACTAAAGGAATTACATAGAGGCGAAATATTCCTACATGTAGTTACCTACCTACCTACATTATTATGCCACATGTACAAAAACGTAGGGTGCTTTCGGACGGACAAACCAAGGAGCGAGCACAAAGTAAAAGCTTGTAAGTTACTACTAATAAATAATAATACAACTTAAAACACCTATGTATAAACGTATTTAATAATAATAATAAAATAATACCTACTTTTAACAATAACATATTTTATCAAATACATATTGACAGGTAAGTAGGTAGGTACCCATTGTGTATTCGTGTTTTACATTATCAACTTAAGTAGGTAATTGGTGGTCTAAAGATGCGATTACTTAGGTACATGACGGATGAGAGATTTTAATAACTCGTCTGCATAAAAAGTTGTGTAAAGTAAGTAGGTATTCTACGAGTATATCTACCAGTTTTCTCGGAAAACTATCCCTATTACAATGTTAATATATTTTTTAAAATGGATAAACATCTTTATATCGATTCTCGGTCACTGAAAACCGGTTGCAGCAGCGAATACGGCGTAGAGTGAGAAGGTAGAGCAAAAGGAAGACGGTGTAAGAGCCCTATAGCGATTCATAGAACATACCAAATTGATAAACCAATAAGTTTATGCAAGTTTTCGCGTTTTGCACTTTTATAATCTTCCACAAGCCTAAGGGTAAAAAACCGCAACTAGACTCGAAAAACTAACGATTATGCTCCAGATTTCGCCCGACCTCGAAAACTTTGGCTATTATTAAAATGTATATCGGATTGTTATGTAAATGTACTAATAGATTTTAGAAAACTAGTAATTCGGAGCGATTGGGATATTGCCAAAAGTGTCAAAGCATGCACTCGGTGAAATACACTCGTCGACTTACGTAAAACTAATTTCTATTTGAGCGATAAACTCATTTATGCATAATTTACATTAAGGAATATCTAGTATCATATAATACTAGTTCTAATTTCATAAAATACACTCATGAGCTTTGTAAAACTCTAGATTTTTTTAAAGAACAAATGCTACAAATTCACCACCGATCTACCGATACCAAATTGCGGACTGTCTAAGGACTTAAAATATGTACCTACATAGTATGCCCGAGTTACTAGGCTGATTTGATGGTTCAATGGAAAGGAGGTTAAAATCCAACAGTGGCTTCTCTCCTAAATTAAGTGTTTACTTAACTTAAGTAAGTTGATCGTCTACTTCTGTAAGGAAGGAAACTCCGATTACATATTTACCACACACCCAAAAGAATAAATAAATAACATTAACCACGAGTAATTTAATGATTTATTATGAAAAAGACGATACGAGAGCTGCTAATATTTTCTATCTACATATGTACAGCCGCCAGAATTTTTTTCAGTAAATAGTACTCGTAGATCAAAGCCGGGTCGGGTAAAAACAAAGAAAATTAGATATTTCATGTGTTATGGTAGCGTATTACATTTTATTCTAAAGCACTATAATTTATTTTGTGACTATCAATTAGCATATTTATGGTGTTCACTCCATGTACCGATTAGATTGCTGGGCCGGGCACATTCTGATAACACGTATTTTGATAATTATGATAACGTGTCGGTACTCATCCGTTCGAAGCGGATTTAGTTAGTCATGTATGCGTGGATTATAAAAAAATAGTTTCATACAAAAGTTATACTGAGTAGTAAATAACAATTTAAGTAAGTAGATAGACTGGCGCCACCTAGAACACCCAGACGTGATTAAAATGAACCGGGAATCGAAACCGGGATCTTGCAGAATCTGAGTAACAATTTACATTAATACCTACCTAACTACTGCGGTATTTAGTAGTAGTTAGTATTTACTGTGTTGGGACTCGGGTTCGCATAGTTTTGTATTAGGTACTTGAGGATCGAATACTCGGTGAAAATGAAGGATGGTATCAGTGATTGAAAATTGATGATAGATAGGTACTAAAGTAATTTATGTATAAGTTTAAATGAAACCTAGATTTTTCATTAAAATGAGCGGGAGCTGCCCAAAATTCATTCATCAAATTCCTTATCGCTTCGCTAAGTTTTTTCGAGTTCGCTATAAAAGCGAAAACGAAATTGAACCTTTTAATAATATTACTTTGACAGTTGGTTTTGAATTCCATTTTCTAGGGTCGAACTAAATTAACCTGTCACCTCTTAATGTTAGTGAAATAACGGAATGCTAGTAAAAACTAGTGTTATAAAATTTTCCAACTTAAAATGTAACATGCTTTCATGTAATCAATCATACTTGCTTTCCTCTCATAAATAATACTAATAATTAAAGGCTATATATATTTAATACATACTAATTTCGCTCGAGAACGGAATCAAGGTAAAAAATGGCTTCTTATGTGAAGCTGAATTTTAAGCAAAAGAAATCGGAATAGAATCGAAATGACTCGCAACACTGATACACTAAAATCTACGAGTAAAATCTTATGTTTTAAAAATGTTGACATACTTAATTTATTCAAAAGTGCTAATTTTGTAAAGCAGTTGGACCTTTGAATTGATTTAATTGATCCTAAAATGAACCGTGACCTTTTATGGTATAACAAATAATGGAAATAAAATATATTAACATAGTAAGTTTGGCTAAGTTTTTAAAAGTCTAGTGGGTTGTAAGTTATCTCTTTGTAACATTATCAATCACATATTCAAAAGAAGAAACTATAATAATTCATAAAGAAAAGTAATTGACAATATAAATAAAAGAATCAATTAAAAGTTATGTATATTTTGTTGTGACAAACACATACGGCCACAGTAATTACTAAACATAAACAATATAAAAAAATACTTTCAAGTTGAGAATAATAGTATAAAAAACTTAATTTAGGCTTACACTGCATATCAATGTGCATGGTGAAGGCAATACGAAGTCTGATCCTCATTTCTCTTACAAATAACGTTAGACTAGCTGTGAAAACTTCATGTGTATTTTGGTATACTGCTTCCTGAAAATAAAGAAAGAACAGAACTTATAACCTGCCCTCAACTCATTTCAACTAAAGGTAGGTAAGACTAAAACAAACAAAATGAAACTATATGAGGCGACGGTTGATTTCAATAATAGAATAAGTAGTTATGCAGATATTTATTTGATTGAAGTTAATCAAGTGTAATTACATTTTTAACATTTTAAACCTTACTTGACATTGTCGTTATAAATACTCGTTGACTAGTACCATAACATTATAATACACGAACGGTGTTCTTCAACATTCTAATAGTCTTAATACAAAATTGCAATCAACGTTACAATTACAATCGATGCTATAAGGTTGCGCTAGTCAGTCATTATTCCATACAAAATTTGAAAGGGTTTCGATGCTATATCGATATTTTGCGACCTAATCTAGGCTTGTATGGAAATTATAACATATACTTTGGGCGTAAATATAGGATTATCATAAGATAAATAACACGAAATCACGAAAAACATTTAAAGAAGCTGAAATTCAAATTACTTTAATAATATAAATACGTTAAAGTCCATTTCATACGACCCAAAGCGGTATTAATGTTACGTGTTAACTACTTTTTGCGTGCGTAAGTCGAGAGAGACACGCACTTTAGACACGCCCACATAAGTTGGACTATTTGACTACCGCAATCTTAAATGTTGAAACACGAATTTTACAGCATACTTGTTAATATTACTCGTAGTATAAATAGGAATATAACTAACCCAGTGATCATTACGAAAATGAAAGCTGTATCGTCTCTTAAAATATAATACCTAAATCATTTCTAAAGTAATGGTCACACAAAACTAGGTCGTTTAAGTAAACATTGTAATAAATCAATTACACTCTGTTCTGCAGTTTAAAATTGCGTTTATACTGTTGATACTGACAATACTGTGGATTTTACATCACATATGAATCGTTTATAAACTTTCGGGTTTACTCTATTTTTGATTGAACCCACAGCAGTGTATTCTCGGTACATCACACACATTAGAATCAAAACTAACATTAAATATGAATATACGTGTTTAGGTATAAACTATGCTGGAATTGTGTAGCTTAAATTTACTTCACAATACGAAAACATTTGTGGATTTTATAAAATTAGGCTTCTCTAAGCCAAATAACTCATTATCATTATTAAGGACATACAATTTATTTCAATACCTAAATTAAACCTACTGCAATATACTTATCAAGCTAAATAAAATTAAATGTTAATGCAATAAAATAAGAAGAAGTGTAATAACACCAAGAATTTTAAAAGGACACATCAATTGGAACCAATATTTTAAAATCAACAAACTATTGTACACAAATGGGACTGCCATTTCTGCTAATCTAAGCTAGCAAAATAGAATAATGAAAAAATTTGAAGAATAAAATCTTATGGAAAATTAAATTTAATATAATAAACAACCAGAAAAAATTACAACAAACAAATAATAACCAATTACTTACTACGAAAAAAGTATTTAAAAAAATTGCGCTTTCAATATTTTCTCTCCCTAAAATGCCAAAAAAAGTTATAAATTATAAGTTTCAGAAATAGTGAACATCAAAATAAAAGTTTAGGAACTTGAGTTGAGGTAAAAGTTACCTGTTTCAAAGACTACATGCAGATATTATTTTTATCAACTTTAATCCATATCAAGTCAGAAGCTAACTAACAGATATGGCAGCCCCCAAGAATGAAAAAATAATATTACATATATTTTTTATAAAATTAACACATAAACTAGGCCTTCAGTTTCAAAGCATGGTGTAAAGCTAATATGAACAGTGTCTTTAAATTTAAAAGTGCCAAATATTAATAATTTATTTACATGTAATAGAGACAGGTCAACAACTCTTTCACGTTCAGTTTTGTTCCGAAGTAAGGTGCCTGAGAGGTAACCAACTAAATTCTAATAGCGGGTGACTGGCGCATCTAAAAAGAAATAAAAATATATATTAAACATAATTTAAGCACTCTAAAATTTGACAACTTGATCTAGCTTTCTATAACTATCATGATAACTCTTCATAACAATGTTTATTAATTATTACATGACAATACAGTACCCTTGCAAGCCTTGAGAGTTGTTTAATGTAAACATCTAAATCACCATTTATGTAACTGATGACCCAGTTATAGTCAAATCAATAAAATAGACACAGACTTTATACACTTCTGTTCTGCACAACTGGTTCCAAAAGAAAAGCTAGCATACTAGTCATTATTCAACTGTCAAATCACATGTCGTACACGCTTACTACCTTACATTATCTCATAAGTATAATTTTGGTCAATAATTCTAATGTTTTGTTTTGCTAATCAAAACGAATCAATTGTAGAGAAGACTAAGTAGCTAGGCAGGGATATTGTTAAGATTCATATTCATTAGGAGATCAAACTCCAGGGATACTTCACGCTGAAGTCCGGTCGCCGAGCAGATAGAATTTCGTGCAATGACCCCAAGCTACCCATCCTTATCACTCGCACGTAATTAAGTTGCTGTTGCAACTGTGCGCCTCATAAGAAGGCTCAAGGTCACCCAAAGGGCGATGGAGCGGGCCATGCTTGGAGTTTCCCTGCGTGATCGAATCAGAAATGAGGAGATCCGCAGGAGAACCAAAGTGACCGACATAGCTCGCAGAATTGCTAAAACCAAGTGGCAGTGGGCGGGGCACATAGCTCGTAGAGACGATGGCCGTTGGGGCAGAAAAGTTCTCGAGTGGCGACCACGGGCTGGAAGACGTAGCGTGGGCAGGCCTCCTACTAGGTGGACCGACGATCTCGTAAAGGTCGCGGGAAGAGCCTGGATGCGGGCAGCGCAGGACCGTGCATTGTGGAAAACCTTGGAGGAGGCCTTTGTCCAGCAGTGGACGTCATTTGGCTGAAACGAACGAACGAACGCAACTGTGCGACGGGCGGCCGCAGTGAGTGTGCGGGTGCGACAGCTAAATTATGTGCGAGCAATAAGGATGGGTAGCTTGGGGTCATTGAACGAAATTCTATCTGCTCGGCAACCGGATTTTTAGACAAATCGGGCGAAGTCGACTGATAACGTGCCGCGGGATTTTTGTACCCTAGTGAATACGAGGCTTTACCTGAACAATGGTAACATGCAGACTGTCCTACAAGTTTTGTAAATTTAAAAGTCCAGATGTAGAAAACACAGAGGAAAGTTAATGGTTCAGGAAGAAATTAATATTTCTTAGAACCTAAAGAATATGTCTATGTCAATTGACAATTATTATTAATGTATCTGATTTTAATCAATGCAAAGTATATTAATAAATATTTAATATCTAAAAAACTATCACAAATGCTCTACATCTGGATATAATTTTTAAGAACAGTCTGCCTCTGCATAACACAACCTTTTTTAACTAGATTCAGAAATAATTATTTGCATTGCAAAAAATCTACATATTAAAACATGAGGTCAATTGACAAGATTGTCTCATTAGTCATAAATGGCTCGGTACAAGAAAAATTAAGTGATTGTTATTTTGTTAAAGGATCTCAAAATTATTGTCGTCTATGAGATCATCATGAGTAACAGTAATGTATTCTGGAAGTCATTACTGGAATGTCTGCTTGCTCTAATTTAGAATATCAACTTCTCAAATTAGGTAATGATGACACTAGGAATAAAAATCCTACTCAGTTAATAATTGCCAGTTAAGCAAGCTATTTTTTCAATGAATGTAATTACTCATTTTTAAATATTCAAGTAAGATAAGATAACTTGATAAGAAACAACAATTATTATACCTATAAAATGTTTTCTCATGACCTATTTTAATAAAGGTGGGCAGGATATTGTAGGTGGGTAATTTATTGTGTTCTATCAAATTTGGTGCTCATAAAACTACATATAAATGGATTTAATTTGTTGTTCTATAAAATTATTATGTTATACATTCAACAAGGGGATATAATGAAAATAGAGCCACAAGAAAACATTAGAATAGTCATTAGCATACCAACATTTTAACATAACATGCTTAACATCTTGGAAAATATCTGAGAAACCAAATAGGTAATTGAAGTATCTCTAATTTTAAGGAAACTGCAAATATTCTACTAAATTTAATTAAAGTAATAAGGTCATCATTTTAAAAATTGCAATAAATAATAGAGGTTTTAGTAGATAATATTACCAATTTATGTTTAAAGTTGGTATCCGAAGCAGCATTTTCATAACATGGAAAAGATTACTACCAATGGCAAGAAATAATAAGGTTACCATAACCATAAAAACAGATACAACAGTGTAATATGTGATGTCTTGAGTATTCTATGAAATGAACCTAAATATTTTATGGATCAACAATTATACATAGTATAAGTATAATTTATACTTAGATAATAAAACAATTATTTTAGTAAATACATTTTGCTACATCAATATCAGCTCTATGAATAATAACATTTGGACAAAGTCAAATTTTAGCTTGGGAACTTAGTGGGTTGATGGAATATCAAATGAGATGTTAAGTGAATGTTAATGTGAAATTCCATAGTTAACCCCACCTGTGTTGAGGCCTGTGTTCTCGGAGGCGCTGGGCGCGTACGCCGGCGGCGGCATCGGCATGGCGATCGGCGGCGCCTGCTCCCCCTTGGGCCGGCCCTCGCCGCCCGGCTGCACTGTCACGGCCTGCACGCCGTCCGAGTCATCCCGCTCCAAAGTGTGGTAGTCCCCGGACTCCTCAGGCGGACGGGGCTTGCACTTGCCGCAGCAGCAGTTGCAACAGCAGCACAGGCAGCAACAGAAGTAGCACCCGGTCAGAATGCCACATACGACGAAAAGCGCTTTACACCAAGTACTTGTCACGACGAAATAGGCGTTGACGTTTTCTTCTCCGAATTGTTCAGCGATGTATAATCCGAGTGACCCGTAATTGTCGTAGATATTCCTCTTTGTGGCATCGCTTAGTATAGTGTGGGCACGATTTACTTCTTTGAATTTGTCCGCAGCTTCCGGGTTGTTGGGATTTTTATCAGGATGATACTTTAGCGCTAATTTCCTATAGCTTTTTTTAACGTCGTCTTGTGTCGCTGTTTTGGGAACCTGGAGTATCTGGTACAAGCTGTCTCCGGCCGTAGACAGTTTCCTTTTATCCATCTTTTTAATTTGAGGAAGAAAGTTAAAACAATCACGATTATCAAATAAAATGCAGCAAAAACTGCGCCAGATTGAGGAATTATTATTTCTGACAGGACGACATTTGCAATATTACATGCGTTCCATTTCATGCAATCGGGGAAGGTGAATTGTTTTTAAACATGTCTAATTAGTCATAACGTATTATATGAGATTTTTAGATTGCGAATTTAGTTAAATTTTAGAAATTTAAAATTATTGCTGAAGTGTAATAAAATCCAGTGTAAAATTATAGAGGTAGAAAATAAATTCCTTCCGCGCAGTTAGTTTTTTGACAAATGTCATCAGTGTCATAATGACATTGATTGATTGTGGCACCCGCACTGCCTGTTTGCTTTGTTTTCTATTTTCGTCGCCACAATTATTAACTAATTCTTAAAATTTCTACAGAAAAGACGATTACTCTCGAATCTTAACATAATACTGTTTACTGTATTCGACTTGTGACTCATAGGCAGATTCGCATTGTACTAATAACCTCAATTTTATTTAGTAGTCAAACTGTATCTCGTACACTAGTAACTTTGAATTAACTAAGTTTCAGTTTAAGACGGTTTCTATGACTTGAAAGCATGCAAGTTACAATAATGAAGGCTCGTAATATTTTCAAGTTGTACCAGCAAGCGCTGACGCGCCGTCCATACTTGGTACAAGCAATACAAACAGGCACATTAATGGCCACTGGAGATATCATATCCCAAACCTTTATTGAGAACAAATCATATAAACACCTGGATTTTAAGAGAACTATTGGATTCTCCTCAATTGGCTTTTTTGTGGGTGTAAGTAATTCAACTTGGTACCTACATTCCTTTTATCATAGGTATTGTGTAGGTATTTGTTTTTTATTTACATTATATTGTACATATTCCAGGGACCTGCTCTTCGGGTTTGGTATGGGCTGCTGAATAATCACATAGGAGCAAATGGCAAGACAGTTGCATTTAAAAAAGTGTTTGTTGACCAAGTGGTGTTTGCTCCAGCTTTCCTCCTACTGATACTCACTGCAGTGGGCACATTACAGGGTAAAAGTTGGGAAAACATAGAGTTAGACGTAAAAGCTAATTACCTTGATGTATTGAAGACTAATTATTACATCTGGCCTTGGGTGCAGCTGGCTAACTTCTATTACATACCACTTCAGTATCAAGTGCTTGTGGTGCAATCTGTAGCTTTGTTTTGGAACACCTATTTGTCTTGGAAGACAAATAGAAAGAGGCTAATCGAATAAATTCAATAATAAATCTCATTATATCTTAGTTTGAACTATGTAGTGTTTATTTAGCACAATAATGTACAACTTTGTGATGTTATGTTTTTAATTAATGTTCAATAAATGACTATTTTTATTTCCATTCATATTGTTTGGTATTGTAGTTAGTTAATGTAAATAAAACATAATGTGAAAATATTTTCTATGCTATATTCCATGGACCTCTATCAATTCCTATAAAAAATACCTTTTCTATTTAGGACAAGGTAAACATATTCAACCTAAGTGCAATACTTCGAAGTTTAGTATCTTTCTGTGTCGTAGTCGTATTTTCCATAATTTGTTTTCCATCGGATTTTTCCTTTCCTTTTCTACGCCATCATGAGATAGGTAACTGTCCACCAAATCTTTCAAATTATTAGTCGTGCTCGTGGTGTGCCACGGGCTTAAAGCGACGGGCACGGAAAAGGGAAGATCAAGACCACCACAAAGCGTAGTAGATCTTGGTTTCTTGTGTATTACCGACCGAGTTAAAACATTGTTTTTAATTTAACGTAGCTAATTAATAAAAACAAATAGAAATACTGTGCTATAACGTTTGCTATAGCTAGATTTTTTATGATATGGAAAATAGAAATTACGATACCTACGATGCATTACGATTATTTGATAACTTTGACATCATCTGTGCTAGTCCAAGCAAATCTGTGAGTCCCAAAGCCGTAAAACATCATTTTAAAAAAAGCAGCTGTCAAATTCAATACTTGTCGGTCNTGGCGTATCTGGGGTTATTTTCAGGGGGGGGCTACCCTCACTTGAAGCAGCTCCAGGGGTGGGATTAGGGGGAAGGGGGGGTTAGCCCCCCCCCCCACATTTCTAATGACTTGTATAACTATTTTTATACACTTATCGTCAGAAATAACAAATCAAAATTTTATGGGGTGGGGGGGGGGAAGGTTGTAAGACACCCCACATTTCTAATATTTTCACATATTGTTAGAATTAAAAAATTCAAATTTTATACGTAGGTACGTACCTAGCTAGACTCACATTATTTCTCATAAATATTTCAGTACGTAATATCGTCAATTTCACACAATTCATTTATTCTAAATATACATTATTGTTTTTAAATTTATTAAACCCTTAATCATTATTAAAATATCCTAACTCGATGCATAAAACCGTATCCCGAAATAGGGGACATGAGTTCACGAACTTAGAAACCGAGCAACATTTTATCACGAAACAGGATCCAAACAAGAGGTCCGCAGAATAATTAATATTAAAAAAAGTTCAAACTATTTAACTATAATTTATGTATTAAGTTACTGTCAAAAGACCAAAGTTTAGCATACAAAAGCTTTCATACTGATATCATGCTTGGTTATTTTTAAATAAAATGTTAAAGTCATAAGAGCCTTAATATACCGAAGTAGGGGGCACTTACCTTAATATTTAGCTTAGTAGGTACGAGGGGCTAACGAGACTTGAAAAGAAAACTTCGCCGTGGTCGACTGACAAGAGAAATGGACTTTCTTATGTTCCTAAAGTCTGACTTAGGGATTGTAACATCGTTGTTACAGTTATTTTTTTGTAATTATTTGTTTTGCACAAAATAACTAAAAGTCCCGTTAGTCCTCGTGTCAAGCTAAAGACCCATGCTTGTGTTACGAGTGGGTTCATCACAATAGTCCAGTGGTTGGGTTCTAACCAGCGTTCTTCGGATCTCGAGTCGGCCAGTTCACTGTTTGGCTTCAAACTTTCCCCCGAGATAAACTTGACATTAACTAGTTGGGTTTTTATTGACGATCAAGTAGATCCTGGCTACGCAGGAGTTGCAGTAGTGGGAGCGAGAGGTGGGAATAGTCCCGTTACTGTCGCTTCGAAATCGATGAAAGAACGATTTCTTTCGATTCTATCGTAAGTCGATGACTTACGATAGAAGTAACAGACTTTGATAAATAGATAAATCTTCAAGCGCGAGTATAATCCGTACACCAAGCATAGTCAAAAACAACTTATCACAGCACAAATCCGAGTCTTTTGTTATCACAGTAATTAATTCCCCTTTATCTTTAGGTACTCTACTAAAACCAGCAGCGTAGAGCTTCAATCAGTTTAGGTTGATTTCTGCGATCCATTTTGATTGCAAATTATAGTAGTGATTGTTATTTAGTATTACAGACATACAGAATCTAATAATCTAGATATAATATTAACTTGATTAGTCCTCAGTATATACTAACTAGACAATATTATGTATTAATTGAAACATATTTTGGCATTTTGGCGTGAAATAAAAATGCTTTTTATGTTTCACTGATGAGCTTTTTACGTAAAAAAAATAGCGTAGCGGAAGAACAAAAAATAATAACATATCTAGAGACAGATAGAAAACAATGCATTGGCTATGATTTTTCTTTTCTGAAATAATGATTTTCATTATCTAATTGTTTTTTTCTCCGAACTAGAAGTCTCAAAATTCTCGGGTTTTTTAAAGAATATTCTTCTGAAAGATCTCGATCTCGGAGTCGTAGGTTCGATTCCCGTCTAAGGCAGTTCGGTTTTTTTCAAGTTATTTATAATTTTCAAATATTTTTCTGTTCCGCTTTTCATCTTTTACCAAATTCCTAGCTGTAAACTTAATCCTTGCACTAATATCTAGATGAAAGATAACTCAAAGACTCCTATAAAGCTCGTGCTTATCACGCCTGACGCTTGTCCCTTACGAGGTTTGAACCTGCTATCTTAAAGATTTCAGACTATTACTCAAGTAACTAACCTAATTTAACAAATACACACGATACATCACACTTTACATTTTCGTTTCAAAATCAACCCTATTTCAACTACATAGATGCCACATAGGAAGCTTGACGTGCCATCAAGCGTGTTCGCTTCGAAACCAAACCACAATTGTACGGTGTAGATCCTTTGTCTCAGGCTACGGGGGAATCAAAGGGACTAGCAAATACAAGGTATTGATTATAAGGTATTGTTTGTGATATATCGACGAAGTTAATCATTAATAACTGGCTTACATAATGGCAAACAAATAATCTGAATTTGCCTGTGTTGATTTTAGCTTGTTACAGTGCAAGCTGAACGCGTTGGTTTGGCTGAACCTTAAGCTAATAATATGTTAGCGTCTAGTTTAATAAGCCTAATCATCAGCATCATCAACAGCCCTTTACAGTCCACTGCTGGACTATGAGCCTCCTCCACTATAGAGGAGGGTTTTGCCATAGTCCCCACGCTTGGCAGGCGGGTTGGAGATCGCAGTTTAAAAGATTGATGTTTTTCAGAGAGCGCTGCTGCGTTTAGTTTGTAGTCCCTAAATCGTCTAATAAGCCTAATATTTGTTAATAAATGCTCATGACATTAGAATCTTTCATTATAAGCTTCAACATAATAGTCCAACGGTTGATAGGGATCGAGCTAACGTTCCTCGAACCTGGATTTGGCAGTCCGTTGCAGCCATCCTAGGGCTACTGTCGAAATTATAATGAAGCGATTTCGAAAATCAGACTTAATTGGAAATTTAATACAATAAAATTGTATAATTATTATTATTCAAGGATTCCCACTAACTATCGAATAGGCTTATTGTGTGTTCATGAATCCAAAACACACGTTGTAAAGTGTGCAATGAAAAAGTGACTCTATCTGTACAGAAAGATAAAAAAGCACATATAGTATGCTTTAGTTCAAAAGAAAAATACTTATGGGTAGAATGTTGAACTGTAGTTCACATATACGAGTACACACACAAGGAGTAGTAGAGTAGTAGGGTTAAAATTATCGTTCGTTCGTTCGTTCGTTTCAGCCGAAAGACGTCCACTGCTGGACAAAGGCCTCCCCCAAAGACCGGTCCTGCGCCGCTCGCATCCAGGCACCTCCCACGACTTTCACCGGATCGTCCGTCGTCGATCGGTTAAAAATTATACTTGAACTATATTTATAAAACGGTTTTAATAACAATAAGTTCACGTTACAGAGTTTACATAACTAGTTTACATTTTAATATCACGAATGTACTACAGATAACAAGGTACAAGTATTCTCAACCCGTAAACGGCGAACTGAATTTCTAAATCCAATTCCATTTCCGTGAAATTGCATAGAAATCGGACCAATATTTTGATAAAAATTCCAATTGGAGTTATCCAGTGTTGAATATTTCATGTAATCACTCCACCGTGAATGATTAATTTAGAAATGACCCGGTATGGATTGGGTCAGATGTGGCCGGTATATTAATGAAGATAGGTACGTGACGGTGGCGATTTTTGGATTTTTTGGGACACATCTGACCCCTCGGTGGTTTGGGATCAACAGTCTAGGTAATTCAATTGGGGACATCTGTGCTAAACCTGGCACGAATTAGATTTAGGGGTTGAGGGCTTTCGTAAACGTGCTGAAGTGTAATTTTAAAATGTAATTAAGACCATGGCTGCTTAGTCAGATTTTTCGTGTAACGAACTACTTATGCTTGAGGTCGCTGGTTTGAATATCGTTTAGGAATTATTATTATATCTCTATTCATGCTTAATCCCATTTACAGAATCTATTTTACCATTGAGGGATTTAGAGGTAGTTGTAACAACTTTGTTGTAATCTAAATAAATCAAATTCATATCTATGCTATGCAATTTATAATGAGGCCGCGACGTCATCCTAGACTGCCTGCTGAATTCAAGAAATACCTGTTTTGTGCTGCAAAAAAACTACCAATATCACCAACCAAACTATCAAAAATCAATTTCACATTACATCAATAAACAAAGATTCAGACACAGATCACAGAAACTTTAATAAAGGGAGATGTGACAAGGGGGCGGGGCCGGTGTCGCAGCAATATGCCCAAAAACGGAACACATTGCTCGTGAAATCAATGGTGACAGCAGCGACGTCATAATGTAAACAGTTTACATTGCTTGCGTAGTACTAAAGATTATTCAAACGTTGAGTACTGATACCGCAGTGGATATTGAGCACATAATTTTGATTACTTTGTGTGTGTGAATTTCTAATGCGATTATGCGACACTGAGTTTCGAACTCAGCGCATCAGTTGGCATCTCTCTCTATCTCTATGGATACAGATGTACAAATATTAAACATAGAGCACGTCGAATGC